GTTGACTAAAAATAGGAAGCAAAACTATCTGACATTCACTGAAAACTTTCATTTCGGGAAGATAAAACTACTATCTGTCAAGAAGGATACTTTTTAACTGAGTCTTGATGGCTCTTCCGGTGCTTGATAAAACCGACTGAAATCTTGCCGTAGGTAGACGACAGAGTATCAGGACAAACAGACCTTTCCAAACATGATATGCCGGGTATCGTCTTCCGAAAACATTTTCACATATTTTTCCCGGACGAATCCATTTCTGAAGCCTGGATTTTCTAAAGGTTATACCCAATTTTTCATCTGTCTTCTGTTTCCCGCCATCTCTTTAGGCCATCATCATGGACTCTGCCAAAGCAGATATGGATGAGGCGGCAGAACCAGTGATCACTTCTTCGGCGGTTGCAAATAGCCAACTGGCCACTTCACTTGCAAAGCTGAGCAAGCTTACTGGATTCAGCCTCATCAAGCTTTCAGGTAACTTATTCATTTAAGAGGCCGAAAGATAATCACAAACTTTAAATTTAACCTTCCCTTACCAATTCACTTTGCCTACGTCAAATCCATGTTCTCTTTGCTTCTATTTAACTAATCATTCGCTTTGGTATTCCAAGGATTATTTCGAGGATGATATTTATGTTTGAGAAAGCTTTATCTGCGTTGGTTATTTCATAATCACAAAAGCACACCTAATAAAATGAAGAAGAGGAATTCAATAAATCCTTTAGTGAATTGAGTGACTCGATTTTGCATTTCGAAAGAAAAGTTAGTTGGAAGAAATTCTTAAACTGGTCTCACCGAAAACTGAAGGAGGATTGATTGGAAGGGAAGAATGTAGTTCTATGCTCTTGTTTGCTATTTGATAGACGTTGTCAGTGCAAGAAACCCTACTTTACTAAACTAATATACTAAGCCAAGTATATTGGCACCCTATTTAGTAAGGTATGCTTTCTTGCTTTGATGATGTCTATCACATGACAAACACAATCTTTGAATAGGTTCATCGGGGTCGAGGAATGATGAACCGGGAACTTCTTGGCACAATTAGATTGTCTTTGCTCTAAACCAATCAAGCCCTCGGTTTCCGATGAGATTCATTTGCGAATTCCTTCCAAGCAACTGTCCTTTCGAAATGGAAAATAAAGTCACACTGGCTCCATGATCAAGATTCTTTGAGTGCCTCAAAAAATGCATCGTTTGTCGTT